TGATGGATGGATGATGGATAGATGGATGATGGATGGATGACTGGATGATTGATGGATGGATGATGGATGGATGGATGGATGGATGATGGATGGATTGATGATGGATGGATTGATGATGGATGGATGATGGATGGATGATGGATGGATGGATGATGGATGGATGATGGATGGATGACTGGATGATGGATGGATGGTGGATGGATGGATGATGGATGGGTGGATGGATGGATGATGGATGGATGGATGGATGGATGATGGATGGATGGATGATGGATGGGTGGATGGATGGATGATGGATGGATGGGATGGATGGATGACTGGATGATTGATGGAAGATGGATGGATGGTGGATGGATGACTGGATGATGGATGGATGATGGATGGATGGTGGATGGATGATGGATGGATGGATGGCTGGATGATTGATGGATGATGGATGGATGGATGGCTGGATGATTGATGGATGATGGATGGATGGATGGCTGGATGATTGATGGATGATGGATGGATGGACAGACGGAATGTGACTCTTTGGGATTTGGGATGAAGCAGCTACAGGTGGTGCCAAGGCTGTGGGATGTCCTCACCACAGGCCTCACCCTCCTGTGGAATTCATCATTAAATTAACGGGAAAAGTCAGAGATTTGGGTTCAGATCCTTGGCTCCAGCTCAGGGACTGGGGGATCTCTTCCTGACTGGGCAGGGGGTGCCTCTGGATCAGCGTCTCCCATTCCCTGCCCATAAATCAGGGAATCATGTAGGGATTTGTGTTGGAAGGGACTTTAAAGCCCATCCAATTCCTACCTGGCCATGGGGCGTTGGGTCAGGAGATGGGAATGTGGAAATTCCATTCCCAAACTCTCCTTGCTGCCTCCTTCCACATCCTTATTCCAGCAAAATCGAATCTGGAGGCAGGGAAGCAGCAGATTCCTGCTGGCAGAGTTTCTCCTGCCCCCAGCCCAGGAGGCTCCCAGGGGATGCAGAACCTTTGGGATCTTTGTTCCCTTTGTCCCAGCTCCTGTTGCCCTCAGGAGCACTTGGAAATGTGAATAACCTGGAAAAGCTCCAGCTGGAGGAGCCGGAGCGGTGCGGCCCTGGCTGCCAGCCAGCCACTCAACCTCTTCATCCATCACTTTCCAACCCCTTGTTTTCCCCGTTTTTTAACCCCCACCTCCTTCAAATCCAATGGTTTTCCCACAAATCCCCACCTCTCCTCGGCCGTGAATCCTGTTTCCCTGTTGATATTCCCTTTTTGAGAATGAATTATCCCATTCCACCTTTTTTAAGGGAAAACAGATGAACAAAACGTCACCCCCTGGAATGCCCCGCGTGGCAGCAGGGTGACAAAACTGCAAATGTCCCGTTCTTGGTTCCATGAATTATCCGATGAGCGGTGATTCCCAACAAAATTCCCCTTTGGAGTCGCCCACCCCAAAGCTTCACTCCTCTCTTGGGATTTTTTGCGGGAATTGGAGCTCAGGGGTGGGCACCAAAATTTTTTTTTCCCCCTCCAATTGTGCTTCTTGGAGAGGGAGAAAAGTTCTGCCTGGAGGTGATCTTCCCAAGAAACACCCAGCTGGAATTTTCTGTTTGGAAAAGCCTCTAAATTTAGCTTTAAAAAGGTGTTTTTAATATGAAAATCTGATTTGTGGGGAAGTCACCGTGGAGCAGGATAAATGAGAGGAGGGTCTGGATGTCATTCCCATTATTCACCAGGTGTTTTCCTGCTTTTCCTCTGGTTGTTTCCAAGAAATCCTCCATCCCAAACTCCTGGAACATTCATTGTCACAGGAATCTTTATTCTCATTAATTCCTGGTGTTACTTGGAATGAAATCCCTGGAAAAGAACAAAGCTGGATGAAACCATTGAGATTTTTTTTTTTTCCCCCCCCTGCATCCATAATTTCCACCTTGGAAGTTGTCCAAGCTTCTCTGGGAACAGGTGAGGCCCAGAGCAGGAGAAGAACTTTTGATTGTCCGTTGAAAAATAATAAAATCCCTTTTGGCAGCACCACTTCTGCTCCGCTGGGAGAATTCCCTGTTTTCCAGAGGGGGAATTCTGTAGCAGTTTTGGGAGTCATGAAACCACCAGCAATAACCAAAATTCCAGACTCCTCTGGCATGGTGGGCTGGACCCTCAAGGAAGTTCATCCTGGATTTAGGGTTGATCAGGGTTGGATGCAGGTGATTCCTGATCTTTTCTCCCAAATTAATTGAAGTGGGAAGTCTCTCCTGCTTTTATCCCACCCCCAATATTCCCATCTGGGCTTCAATGTCTCTGGTGGATGTTGGGAAAGGAGGGGCAAAGCTGAACTCTCAGCGTTAGCAAAGAAATTAAGGAATTCAAGGATTTATGGATTTCAATCCCAATTTTCCAAGCCATGAGGAGCCTTTTTAGCCAGAGAAAAGCTTTTCCTGGCACTGAGGGTGGGTGGGAGCATCACCCTCAGGTGGCCCCAGCTCCAACCTCTTTCCCTCTGCAGGTGAGGGACTCTCCAGGAATTCCCAGGAGCTGATCCCGAGGGAAATGTTGTGTGTCCAGCTCCTCGTCCTGGCGGTGGCCACGGCGCCGTTCCGAGCTGGGGCTGTTCCCGAAGGTGAGTGACAAGTGACTCCTGGGTCACCACGGATGCAGCACCTGGGACATTTCGGGGAGGAAAATCCCTTTTCCAAGCAGATTTTCCTGCTCCTGGCATGGATCCACACCTGGAGCTGTCGGGGTGGAGCTCTGGTGCCTTTAATTCCCGAGCGGGATCCTCTCAGTTTGGGATCATGTGGATAACACAGCACCTCCAAAGGAATTCAGGGACTCCTGAATTCCAAAGGAATTCCTGCTCGTGGATTTATGGAGAAATCAGGGCTCTGCTCAGTGTCCTGCCTCTGTTCCAGCTCCTGCTCCAGAGGAAAGTGGGGAGAAAGGAAAAACAAATCCCATCCTGCTTCCTCCTCTGAATTCCAAGACCTGGTTCTGGCCACCACACAGGGAATGGGAGAGGAAAAACCTCAAGGAAGCCTTGAATCCATCTCCTGTTTTTCAGGGACAAGGATTCACCTCCCCAGCTCCATGCAAGCCCACAAAGAACTTTTGGGGATGAGGGGCTGGATCCAAAAAGGAAAATAATTCCAGGGAAGAGCCTCTTGGATGACCCAGGGTGTATTTTTGGTCTTGGGCGGGGAGATCCTTGGGAACGTCCTCCAGAGCAAATCCAGAGCTCCCAGGATTGTCCCAGGGAGGATCCTCCTTGTTCCCAACAACCCCCAGGTCTGGAGGCGCAGCTCCATCTCAATCCGTTAAATTCAACAAGGAGTTAATGGAATCTTCAGCATCAGCTTGGAAATGAACTTGATTAAGCTGCTGTCCATCAATTAACCAAGAAACTCGACTCTAATGCTGTTTAACTCCGGGCTGGGAGCGGGGCAATTAATCAACGTTTGGAGATGTCTGTGGCAAAGCCGTGACGGATGGAATGGGATCGTTCTGGAGGTGCACGGAAAATTCCAAGGCCAATCCTATCCCCTCGTGATTAATAGAGCTGTCTGGGGTGGGGTTTTCTCCAGAAGGTATCCATCCAAATATCTTCAGCATCCCACATTTCCCATGACAGCGCCAAGCAGGAATGCCGAGGTTTTGGGAAAAAAAAAGGAAATCCCCGGAGTGATCTGGGATTGTCACGTTTAGAGGGGAAAGGGAACCATCCCACCCTTGGGAATCCCATATTTGTTGTTTTCCTCCTCCTTATCCCTGGATGCAAATGAAGGTGGGGTGAGGAAGACTCTGAAAAATCGGGATGGATGGAGGAAGCTCTCTGGGAATTTGGGATGCGGAGGAGGCAGCAAAGACCCCTCTGATACTGATTTTGAGGATGTTTTCCAAATCAGGGCCGAAAAAGCAGGAAAATCTGCACTTCCTGGATTAGCTCCAGGAGGTGGACAGTTCTGCATTTTCTTGGGAATTTCTTGTGGGAATTCAGGGTGTGGTTACCCTGAGAAGCTGCTGAAGGATTTCCACCAGTCCTAAGGATGGAGATGGGGACTGGGATTTGCTTCTCTCCATCTTTCTGGAGGAACAGGGACATCGAAACCCCGAAGCTGAGGAAAAGGATCCAAAATAGGAGCAGCAGCTGGGAAAGGAGCTGGTGGTGATCCATGAGCAGCTGGGCTGCTTCCAGACACCCCGGACAGGGAGATCCCTGGGAAGGAAAATTGAAATAATTGCCTCCTATTTTTCCTCAAGGAAAAGTGCTTTATATTCCAAAATTAAACCCAAAAAGAGCCAATCCCTATTTTCCTGCAGCGAACAGGGTCATGTTGGGAATCATTCAGTGTCAGGAATAAAAAGAAGGAGGAAAACCCCCAGATCCTTGGATAACATCCATCCACAGCTGGAAAAGGATCCCTTCTCCTGCTGGTGGCCAAAGAGGATTGATCAGGGCCACGGCAAGGAAGGACAGCACAAAACCCAAATATTTCCAGGCCCTTTAGGGGTCCTGCTGGTAGGAATGGGATAAAAATCCAGGGTGTTGAAGAGGTCAGGCTGGAACGGGTTTTCCATGTGCAGCAGAATCCTGGGAAATACACTCAGCTCCTCTCCCTGGAAACCAGGATGGAATTTCCAGCCTGCTTGGAGCAAGTCTGGGCTTTAGGGCTTTGGAGCTCCGGAGCTGCAGGTGGATAAAATCCAAAATGACCCAAAATGGGAAAAAAAAACACCCAAAAAGGGACAAGGTTGAGCCCAATCCCAGTGAGGAAGATCCAACCTCCTCCTCCAGCAGGGTCTGGACAAACTGCCTCCAAGGGAGAGAAATTCCAAGGAAAACACCAATTTTCCATATCCCTTGCAGGGTCTTCATGAGTTTAAGCATCCCTCAAAGTCATCAGGTTCCTGTCCATGAAATGAATTTATGGAATGCCTAAAATACGGAATTCAGCTGGGAGGGAACACTGGGAAGGGAAGAATGCCTTGCTGTTGGTTAAGGAAATTTCCCGGTGCTCCTGTCCCTTCCCTGCCATCGGAGCTGTCGTGGGACAGCTTGGAAAACCACTCCAGCTCCTCATGGTTTGCTCGTGCCCAGGTTTGGGTGGTCCCACATCTCCATCGGTGTCCCTGATATGAATCCCGGGATGGTTGATGGGATGGCAGAGCTGCCACACTCCCAAATTTCAGTACTGGGTGGCTCAGGGGTCTGGGAATGTGGAATCCCCAGCCTTGGGATGGGATTCCACTCTGGAATTCCCTTGCTTCCAGTGTCCCACACACCTGATGCTTTGATGGAGCTGGGATCTGGGGTTTGTGCTGAAAATCATGGAATGGTTGGAGATGGAAGGGGCCTTTTAAAGGTGATTTACTCCAATCCTGCCATGGACAGGGACCTTCCATTATCCCAGGTCATCCTGGCCTTGGACACTTCCCAGGATGGGGCATCTCTGGATGAAAAACTTCTGGGTCAGAACATCCAAATGAGGAATTAGGAGGAAATTAAGGAGAACACAACACCCTGGGAAGCACCTAAACATGGTCTCTCCATCTCTTTCCCTTCAGTATCCCGGGAATTCAGGCGCCTCTGGGAGGTTTCCCTCATTCCGCGGTGTGGCTTGAGCCTCCCTGTCCCTCTTGTCCCCCAGCCTGCAGGACAGCAGAGGTGGCCAAGGTTCTGTTCCTCGTGGGGCAGTCGGAGGCTGCAGGGAAGGAGAGCTCGCGGCTGCTCCAGGATTTCATCGGGAGCGTGGCCAGATCCTTCGAGAACGCGGAGATGGGAAGAGGAGGAGTCCAGCTGGGCCTGGCTCTGTATGGGGAGACACCAAGGTGGGTCTGGCCATCCTCCTCCGGCCACTCCTGGATTCCTGGAATCCAGCTCTGGGGAACCTCTGAGCAAGAGCTGACCCCTCAGCAGAGTCACCCGGAGGTTCTTGGCTGCGGGGAATGCTTTCAGGGCAGGAAGGATGGGTTTAACGTTCAAATTCCACGTTTTGGAATCTGGGTTGTGGTACCATGGCCTGGGGCTCGTTCCCTGCGCTCCCCCAACCACTGTGAGGAGAACTTCTTGGCATGAGTTAAATTTTGGGTGGGAAGGGACCTCAAAGACCATTTAATTCCAGCTTTCATGAGCAGGGACACCTTCCCCTATCCCAGGGTGCTCCAAGCCCCTTCCGGCCTGGCCTAGGACGCTTCCAGGGATCCAGGGGCAGCCAGGGCTTCTCTGGACAACTGGAAAATAAATGTCAACATTACTGCTGGTTGTGGCCATTTCCAGGCCGTCCCTTGCTCTTTATTCCCCCGTCTCCCATTCCCAGGATGAGTGTCGAGCTCACGGATTACGTGGCCATCAAAGAGACGCTGGATGCAGTTCAGGATCTCTCCTTCAAGGGCAGCAGCCTCCGAACAGGCTCAGCCCTGGCTTTTGCAGCTCAGGCCTTGGCCCACCAGGACACCCAGAGAGAGGAGGCAGCAAAGGTGGGCGAGCTCCTGAGGTGTTGTCCAGGGAGCAGCTGGGTCCTCCCAGAATCCTGGAACGGTTTGGGTCGGAAGGGAATTCCAGGATCATCCAGTGCCACCCCACCCATGGGCATGGACACCTTCCACAGGCTGCTCCAGGCCCCAGTGTCCAGCCTGGCCTTGGACACTTCCAGGGATCCAGGAGCAGCCACAGCTGCTCTTGGAATTCCATTCCAGGGCCTCCCCACCCTTCCAGACAGGAATTCCTCATTCCCAAAATCCCATCCATCCCTGCCCTCTGGCAGTGGGAAGCCATTCTCCCTTTGTCCTGTCTCTCTCCACAGGGAAGAACTGCAAGTTGTCCCTCTCCACAGGGAATTCTTTCCTATTCTCCAATCCAAACCTAGTCCTCCCTTAGGAGCTGCTCATGAGGACTTGTGGTGATGAATCCTGTCCCTGTGCTGGCAGGAATTTCCTCCTGGAATTCCTGCCACAAGGGCAGGAGGGCCCTGCGGAGAAGATCCTCAGAGGAGCAGCTCTGCTCCTTCCCAGCTCATGGGAACGATTCCATGGGAGGTTCCTCACAGGTGTTGGGTTTTTGGAGGATTTCATCCCAAGAGAGGGAGTTAATCGATGTGAAACCCCGCAACTGTCACCGCGACCTCCTGGTGTTGTGCCCATTTCTTCCCTGGCTCTTATCCCAACTCTTGCAGGTGGTGGTTCTGATCACAGATGGGAAATCCAGCGATTCCGTGGAAGAGGGAGCCCAGATCCTGCAGGATGGGGGGGTGACAGTGTTTGCTGTGGGTACGTGTGGCCACCAAAACCTCTGTGTGACCAACCCTCGTTCTTCTCCCTGGGGAATATTCCTGATTCACCACACCCTCTTCCTAAAAACTGCTCCCATTCCCTTTGGAAACCACTGCAAGTCCAGGAAAACTGTTGTGGTTTTGGGTATTTTTGTTGTTGTAGCCAAAAACCGATTTATTCCGTGAGAATCTGTAGTTTTGTATCTATCAAAGCCACTTGGGAATTCAGAAGGGGTTCAATAAATGGTTCCATGAAATGTTTTGATGTGACATTTAGAAAAAAAAAAAAAACAATCGAAAATGCTTTTGCTTCTGAAGTTTTCTCTTAATGGGGTTCAGAGACTGACTCAGAAATGTCCCTCAGAATAATTCCATGGGCAACGAAATGTTCCACTGCTCCCCAAAAGTGAAATTCCACCAGTCAAATCCTTCCCTTCCTCAAATATTTTAGGGAATGACAGGAATGGTGGTGGGGTCTCCATACAAAGAGCAACCAGGCCGATTTGAAGCAATGTGAGGTGAAAACCGAGGAAGGATTGGTTTGTTGGGTGGGTTGTTCCTCGTTTTTTTGTTTCAACCACAGGAACGCCCTGGAATTTTCAAACAGCCTCCCAAAATCCCGTTGTCTGCTCAGCACAGGGATGCCTCAGTATCCAATGGCAAGGACATCCTGCCCTGTTCCTTTTCCCTTTTCCCTTTTCCCTTTTCCCTTTTCCCTTTTCCCTTTTCCCTTTTCCCTTTTCCCTTTTCCCTTTTCCCTTTTCCCTTTTCCCTT